TTTGTACCCCCCCCCCCCCCCCCATGATGCTACTTTAAAAAATGTGTTTTTATCTATTTTATTGTTAGAAGGGCAGAATATTAGACAGAATATTTATGTCTTTTATTTCTTTCCTGTGTCTTAAAGCAAGGTGCAGGCAATGCTGAGAAGTTTGACTATGTAAGTCATTTATCAAAAGATTACGATAACATTTTTTCACAGGAGCTGTTGTTTTTGAGTTTGATTTGCCTGTTCTGATTTCTGTCTTGCAGGTGTTGAACTTCTTGAAGAAGATGGCTGGAAATGAATATGTTGGTTTCAGCAATGCCACGTATGTTAAGCTACCAGTTCTGTAGATTTGATCATAGATACAGTTGGCAAACAGTCAAAATATATAGTCCTGACCTCTTCAGTACATTCAGTATCTGATTTTATGTTATGCATGATTTGTGTTGTTGGGTTCGATTAAGGCAACTGATTATTTATGTCAACTGATATAGATTCCAGTCGGAGCGTGAGTCAGGAGACAGGAATTTCGCTATTGGCTACTACCTGAAAGAAAAGAAGGTTAGTATCTCAGGGAGCTTTTGATGTGATTAAGGGATTTATTGCTCCCAATCATCTCTCTGTTTCTCTTCACATATACCCTTCACATTTTATATGCTGTAATTTGCATTGGTTTTTTGGGGGCCGTTGAAAAACATGAGACGCAGGCAGTGGAAGAGGGAAAAAAGAGTGTTTCTTTCTTTTGATCTGTTCTTGTTTCTCTTGTACGCAGTGCTTTCCAACTGGTACAGACATGACTGCTGTTCTGGACTTGTACTTTCAGGTGCGTACAGAGATGCCTTCCATTTTCTGAGTTATTGTCAGATTGAAACATAAAAGTTATGAGCTTGTTGCAATGCATTTTGGGGTTGCCTTCTGAAATGTTGATATTGTAACTGATATGCACTACCATTCTAAAGTTTGGGGTTAGTAAATTTTTTTTTTAAATACGTTTTTTTTATGCATTCATTTGATCAAAAACACAATACAATTTTAATATTGTGAAATAATATTGCAGTTTAAATATATATTTTATAAATACAATATGTAAAATTATATTATTTTAAAAACTATTTAAATGATTTAATCCATTTTAAAATGTTAATGTTTAATTTATTTAAATGTAATTTATTCCAGTTATGGCAAAGCTGAATTTTCAGCAGCCATTACTCCAATCAGTAATCATTCTATTATGCTGATTTGGTGACTCTCATCAATGTTGAAATCTGCTTAATATTTTTACTGAAACTTTTTTTCAGGATTCTTTGATTAATTAAAAGTTCTAAAGAATAACTTTTATTTGAAATTGAATTTCAAATTTAAAAAAAAATTATAAATGTTTCACTTTTTATCAATTCAACGCATCCTTGCTGAAAAAAAATTCTTAAAAAAAAAAGAAACTTTAAACTTTCGAATGGTAGTATATCACCAAATGAGTCAATATATAAAGAAATCACATCAAAATTGGAATCAAAGCAAGACCTTGCAAATCAAAATCAGAAATCTGTAAATCACTGTCAATGCACTACAATTGAATGGTTATTGGAGATCATAAAAAGTTGATATGCTGACATGAATGGCTCTTGCTTAGTTTGACATAGCAAAAGCATGGCAGGACTTCAGTCTGGTGACTGTCCCTTGACTCCTGTCATGTGCCTCTGAGATCATGCGGCGTGTGTAATGGGATAGTGCAGCTGATGGCTTTCTCTTACACACAAACACAGACACACACGTGGACAAATTCTTAGGGTGTTGTTTTCAGTAAAATCCAAGAGGAAAGCTGCCAAATGAAGCATGTTGAAATAAAAACTGTGGTTTGGCGTCCTGGCCTAATAATATTTCTTATTCATGTGTTTATTTGTGTTTGCGTCCATATGTGCAGCTGTGCTCCATCGAGGTAACGTGTGAGAGCGCTAGCGTCATGGCTGCCACACTGGCCAACGGTGGCTTCTGTCCAATCACAGGCGAGCGTGTGCTGAGCCCCGAGGCTGTGCGAGACACCCTCAGCCTCATGCACTCGTGCGGCATGTATGACTTCTCCGGACAGTTCGCCTTCCATGTAAGTTTCACACATGTGTAAACACATCAAATACAAGTTACATAAATCAGATCCCCCTAGCTTTCAGAAATTCAGAACAACATAAAAAAAGAATGTTTTTAAATTATTGATTGCTTTATCCAAATCCAAAGTGTTTTTGTATGCTCTCAAAGTCCACATACACTTTTTAGAGAATATTTGTGTCCATTATTTGTGCTAATTAAAGTACACTTTTTTCAAATTCAAAGTCAAATTCACGTAATAGTTGTACCACTTTAGCATGCAGTATTTCAGGCTTATTCAAGCTTATTTCCAACATAACTGTGGTTTGCTTTTTTTATTGGCAAACACACCTCATTTAAATGCAAATCAAGCTCATTATAGAACATGAACATAAGCCACACTATTTATTCTTAGTGAGCCCCACTCAGAATCTTCCAGCCAAACACAATATCTTCAATTATGGTTGTCATATTTATCTGTATATAATTTTTTAGTGTTAATGTATTTTTTTATTTTGTTTAGGTGGGTCTTCCGGCCAAGTCAGGTGTGGCTGGTGGTATTCTGCTGGTTGTGCCCAATGTGATGGGCATCATGTGCTGGTCTCCTTCATTGGACAAACTCGGCAACAGTGTCCGGGGCATCCAGTTCTGCACGGTATGTGAATGTTCTTGTTTGCTGACACCTACACACACATAAACAAATTAATTTCTTATAAAGTTCAACCGATGTACTGGAAATTTTGGGAAAAAACATTTTGAAAGTTCACCAAGATGTGATTGTAAATATACACTACTATTCAAACATTTGGGGTCAGTAATTTTTTTCCCACACATTAAATTGATCAAAAGTGACATTAAATATATTTTACATTGTTACAAAAGATTTATATTTCAAATAAATAAGTTCTTTTGAACTTACTTTTCCTTAGAGAATTCAGAAAACAATTTTCACAGTTTCCACAAAAATATTAAGCAGCACAACCTTTTTCAACATTGATAATAATAAGAAATGTTTCTTGAGCATCACATTGGCGTAATAGAATGATTTCTGAAGGAGCATGTAACACTGAAGACCGTAATGGCTGTTGAAAATTCAACTTTGCCATCACAGAAATAAATTGAAATAGAAAACTGTTGCATTTAAATTGCAGTAATATTTCAATATTACTGTTTTAATTTCTTTTTGAACAAATAAATGCAGCCTTGTTGAACATAAAAAACACCCCAAAAAAATCCTACCGACCCCACATTTTTGCCCATTATTGTAGCCATTTATTGCTGTGTTTTGTTATGTTGATACATATACATGATTCAGTTTAGTTATTTATTATTAATGTTAAAAATATTGTAAAATAGTAAATAATTTTTAACTACATCTCTAAAGTTTTACAGTTAGGGTGAAATACATTGAAACATTGAAATATATTTGGAAAATTGTCAAAATATGTTCCTATTTTTATTTTCATTATTTTGTTAACCTGTATAACCTGGCCCTAGTTGCATATCGGCATAAATACAATAAATGGGACAGAACGTTTTTTAAGTAAGCTTTTTATCATGTATAGTTTGTCTTCTCTGTTTACTGTGGTTTTGATCCTATGATCCTGTCCCCTTGTGAGGGCTTCTCATCAAGTACCTGCAAAATGATCAGAATCTGTCTGTGTTATTTTAGGTCTCTCTGAGAACCAGCACTTATTAGGTTTTGAATATCAGTACAGCCTCTCAGACCCTTGTTAAAGGTCAAGGAGTCTATAATTACTCCCTGTGTGTCGTAAGGAAATCAGTGCCGCCACAATCCATGTCTTTGACTCATTAGTGGTGATAGTCTGACTCAAGATGACCCCAGCAAGGGGACCAGAGCTAATTGGTGGAGTTAATTCTGGGGTGGGAAGTATGACTAGAATTTTACATCATTTATATGAACAGTTGACAGATTTCTACTGTCACACAGTCACATAATCAGTGGTGAATTCAGAGCCACGGTGATAATTGAAAGCCTTGTTTCTGTGATCAGTGTTGCTGTGCCAAAAGAACGGTAACAACTGGCAAGTCAGAGGGTCACCAGACAGAAAATGGGTGTAATATTAGACATTCAGATATTTTTGCCAACTCTTTCTAAGTTCCCAACAAATTCAGGGAGTGTCCCGAATGTATGAACCCTTCCAGTCATAGTTTATAAGGTGAAGCAGAGTTTCAAGGTCAGCTTCTTGGTTTAACTGCACACTACACAAACTTAAGTCAACATGAAATCAAAATGGAATATTTTTTAATGGAATATTGCAGTATTTACTATAAATGATTTTTCTTTTTTTTTCTTGTTCAAGAAGTCATTTCACCCTGATATATGTCACAATAAGGAAGAAAAGACTTTAAAAGAATAATTCTGGGTTTCTGCCCATTGATAGCAGAACAAAATTGATATGGCAGTGACAATAATATTATTGTTGTTGTTGTTGTTGTTGTTGTTAAATAATGATAATAAACTATTATAGCTGTAATAAACTATTATTGTTGTTGTTGTTGTTACATAAATGTACAAATAAACTATAATAATGATATTCATAATTAATGATGATTAATATGATACTAATAATAATGATTAATAATGAAATTTAGTAATAATAATAATACTATTTTGAAATAATTATAATAATCTATAATAGCTAACATTATTATTGTTGTTACATAAATATACAAATAAACTATTATAATTCTAATAATAATATTCATAATTAATAATGATCATAATAAACTATAATAGCAAAAAAAATTTAAGTAGTAGTAATAATAGTTAATTTGTACAAAAACATTATCTTAGCTGAAAGACTAAAACAGAAATGTAGGACATGCTAATATGCTTCTCTGTTCTCAAGAAAGAAAGAAAAAAGAGCATACAAAAACTGAATATACTTAAAAATTAGATATGTTTAATAGAAAAACATTGGTTGCTCCTAACCCTGAAAACACATTAAAATATATTTTTTAAAGTGGAAGTCTATTGGGCAAGGCAACTGTAACTTGTACTATTCTATGGTTTAACACATACCACATAATGTCCTGAAAAACAACATACTTTTAAACCTACAAATGTCACCTTCAAAGGCGAACCTGAAAACTGGAATCTGAGAAGTTTAATGACATTGTGAAGGAGGTTCATTTCAGCAGCATCCTGGTACAAAGGGCTTTAATGAAAGCAGGCGCTTCTCTATGCACTGCACACTCTCCTGTCACTAGCAGACCAGCTTCAGACACTCAACGCAGTCCTTCAGTGTGTGTATGCGCTTGAGCCTTTGACCTTTGAGACTGACTCCTGTGGCTTTCTCTCCTGCTGTAGGATCTGGTGTCCTTGTTCAACTTCCACAACTATGACAACCTGAGGCACTTCACCAAGAAGCACGATCCCCGCCGAGAGGGAGGGGACCAGCGGGTGAGTGCCCTCTTCCATTTGCCCGCCAGCCTTGCCCTCCCCATGTGCCCCATCGACGCATTACACCACGTCTTGTATGAATGACTGCATGTAATAATTTACTCAAGACTCCGAAGCTGAGAATACCGCAGAGGACGTTTATTTCCACTAAAGGCCTTGTATAGGGCCTGCAGTCAGCCTTATACAATCACTCCCCCTGCAGGAGCATTTTGACACTACATGCCTAGTTAGGTAGCTACATTACAACCCAAATAGGGTAGTTGGTTTTGCGGCTGTTTTTGCTGTGCTGTTGTCTTCATCGAGCAGCACAGTTAAAGCAGCGAGTAAAGAGCAGCGGTTGATTCATCATCGAAGTTCTGTGCATGAGATTCTAATTTTTGCATGTCGATTGCCATCTCTTGTTTTGCCATGTTTTATGCCATTTTATCTTAAGAGACTGTCTTTGTTTTACTTGCTTCAGTCTGCATTTTCAGATTTGTAATCCGAAGGCCCAGACGGAATCTGTAGACTTTTTCCGCATTTCGGATAATCTGTGGAATGGATGTAAACGTGGTAAAATGTGTAAAAAGTAGCTGAGCATACTCTTATCTATAGCTGAAAAAATAAGCAGATTAGCTCAAATGTTTAAACCTGAATACAGACCCGATTTAAATGTAAAATTACAGTAAGGTATAAGTTGCAAATTAAAATAAGTGAAAAAGAAATTAAAAAGCTTTTCATGAATCCAAAATATACTCAAAAAAAAATAGTTATTAATAATAAATCTTAATTATTGCAAATAAATATAATTTTCTATTGTTGTTTATATTCATTATATTATTGAATCTAAAGTTTTATCATCATTATTATTATTATTATTATTGTTAACCTGCATGCACTGATTCCGTGTGGGCCTGGTCATCTGTTATTAATGATTGTGACTTAAATCAGACTACTGCTGCTTAAAAGATGCATGTGCAATTTCTGTGATAAGACAGACCTGCTATGTTTTTTTGTTGTTGTTTTAAAATGTTGAAAAATCTGACCTTTTCCCGGCTGTGTGAATACGAAGGCTTTCTTTGTGGCTGTTTTTGTTGACTTTGAAATCTGTTCACACGTCACCATATTGAACAGTGTGAGTCACACACTTTCCCTGGAGGCCCCTAAAAACTCATGTGTTCTCCGTGTTGCTCAACACAGCAGTACACCTTTGGACCCCTGGATTACGAGAGCCTTCAGAAAGAGCTGGCTCTCAAAGACACTGTGTGGACAAAAGTCTCGCCCACTGAGTGCAATGAGGACAGCTCCACTACTGTAGTCTATAGGATGGAGAATGTCGGAGATGGCAACTAAAACGGATCTGACTTACCTCGGCGAGCTCTTTGACAGCATATATTTATGTACTTTAACTGTTATTTATTTTTAATGAATCTCATTCTGGGCACATGTTGGTTCTTCACCAGTCTTGGTGAACATGAATGACAATGGTAGAGGATATGGTCTAAGTCCTTATGCCTTGGCTTCTGTTTATCTATCTGTGCTAACGCTGAAAAGCATAGCGGAGGGCTCTATTCTTAACTTGGACTGCATGGACTTTAGGTGCAGTGTGATTTATAGGCTCTATATTCTCTCATAGACAAGGAAGTGGGGGGTTTTTTCGGTGGAAGTTGAGCATTGGCTGCTGAACAGAGACTGTAGGTGGTTCTGTTTTGCACTACGATTGAATGTGGGGGTCATGTATAATTAACCGCGTCTTACCAGATGTAGAGTCGTCTGTGAGGTCTTTAACTCGATGATGTCACGAGCACATGGACGTCTTCTGACACTTTTTGTAAGAAGTACAGGTGCAAAAGTTCACTCAAAAATGAAAATTCTCACACTTTTTTATTCACTCTCGTGTTGTTTTAACCCTGTATGTTGCTGTTGTTGTTTCTGTGGAACACAAAAATAATTTTTGAAGAACTTTCATGCAAGTTTTTCCATATTCCAAACAAAATCTTGTTCAAATAACCATAAAAGTTGTCCGCCTGACTATAATTGAAGTGTTCTGAAGCCATACACTAGCTTTTCTAAGGTAAAAGATGAACATTTAAGTTATTGAAAATGGCATTTGGTGCAAATTTGGTATCTGCATTATCATGGAATAACGTCTAAAATTCTGCCTTTTCCTCACACAAAGCTATTACATGACTTTAAAAAAAATTTGAATATAGTGCAGACTTGGAATATACAGTCATATAGACTGCTTGATGTGGGGCCAACTATGGTAACCCATACCCATTTGTTACAAGTCTGACTCTCTAACCATTAGGCCACAGCTGCCCCATGGTTGTTGTTTTCTTTTTTTGAAGGTCGACAGGTTACAATGAAGTCTTGTTCTATTGAAAAGAGCTGCATGAAGGTTCTTCAAAAATCTTCCTAACATGACATACAACATAAAGGTGAAGTAGTATTTTCCATTTTGGCTGAACTATTCCCTTTCTCCTGCTCCCTTTGGACACTTTCCGACCAAGCGTTAAGGTTAAAAGGGACCTCATGTTGCAAAGGAGTTATTCATTTTTAGATTAGTCACGGTGCATTGCTACTGAATTGCTTGTCGTGGTGACTGCGTGTCCTGAGAGGACTGTTGTAATGTGCAGTGGTTGCATCATAGAGCCGCTAGTACTGCTCAGCAGCCAGTTGAAGCCTGCTGTCAGACCTTTGCAGTGAAATCACTGCAGGTTATAAACCTTCCATTCTTCCGCCTGCCCTTAGTTCCATTTCTGTCTGTATATTCTCATATATTTATTGCTAGAAACATTTATGCACATTATTGATAGTTCAAAATATGTTGGTTTATATCAAACTAAACATCGATAAGCTTTTGAAGTTGTTGTATTGGTGGAAGGATGCTGCCCTTATCAGGAAGATATTATTATTATTTATTTACTTATTATTATTATTATTATTATTATATATTTACTTTTAAATATAAATGTTCATTTAATTTTTGCATGATTTGCTTTGCTTTCACAGGCTTGTATATTTCTGGGTTTTGTTGCTTAGTTTGACAAGTTTTAATTCTGATTTTCATGTCTTGTTTTTGTGCTGCTTTAGTGGAGAAGTGTTTCTCGCGCTCACTGACAGATTTAACAGTCAATGTATGAGTTCATTATAGTCTGGCTTGACAAAGCAGCTCACTCTGGTTACTTGAACTGTCCTGAGTCTAACAGCTGTCAAATGCTTCATCACAATATATTATCATCTGATTTTACCCTGTCATAACAGTTCTGTTTATTTTCTCTTGTTTTGTCATTGTGTATTTATGTCATTTGTTCTGGTTTTCTTTTTTGTATCATTAATAAATGTATTTCATCTAATCTCATTGTTGCCTGAAATCAGTTGTGTTCCATTTGTTGCTGTGTGTGTGTGTGTGTGTGTGTGTACCTGTTTTTCTATTCTGGTGGGGACTTAAGCCTGAATACACACAGACTCATGGGGACTCGTGTCACGGTGGGGACCTAAATTGAGGCCCCCACAGGTAAACAAGCTAATAAATCACACAATGAAATTTTTTGAAAATCTAAAAATGCAGAAAGTTTCCTGTGAGGGGTAGGTTTAGGGGTAGGGTTGGCGTAGGGCAATAGAATATACGGTCTGCACAGTAGAAAAACCATTACGCCTATGGAGAGTCCCCACAAGGATAGCAAACCAGAC